TAGGTTTGGAAAGTTTTCTTCCAGGATTTCATGGAATAAATTGTCTAGACCCTTATTATTTTCTTCCTCTTCTGGGATACCAATTATCCATATGTTGGGGCACTTGATGGTATCCAGTATTCATTGTATATTGTCCTCATTTTTCATGGTTATTTTCTCAATCTTCTTGATATTTTTTCTAGGTTAGATGTTTTGTCTTCTACATTAGAGATTCGATCTTCTGCTTGATCTAAACTATTTTTAATACTTTCAAGGGAGGTTTTGATTTCCTGTATCACATTCTTCAACCCTACAAGTTCCATCTGGTTCTTGTTTAAGGTATCTATTTTTCTTTCAAATCATGAAAGGACTTCCTCATCTCCTGGAGCTCCTTGTCTCTTTTCTCTTCTATCTCAGTTAGTTTGGTCACTACAAATATTCTGAATTCCTTATCAGACATGTCCACGATGTCCATTGTATTGACTGTGGGTGATGTAGGCTTGATGATTTCCCTTGAGGGAGAGACTTTTTGTTGGTTGCTCATACTTCTTCAGCCTCTGCAATTGTTCCTAGTCACCAGGTGATCTATATTTGCTTCCTAACGTATTTAAGGTGTCTCTGAGTGTTAAGTTGTACAGGATTAGAAAACTGATGATTTCTCTTATGGTTGGCCTACCTGTTGCTCAACAGTACCATGTACTGTTGTCACTGGTCCTAGGTGACCCAAAGTCCTCCCTGGTTCCAAGAAGTGGTGAGCCTCCAACTGACCTAATAAGCAACACCTCAAGAGCAAAGAAGAACAAAACAAAACACTAAAATTCTGAGAGTCCAAAGGCAAGTAGCAAAGGGCCAGAGGATGAGAAATGAGTCCTGGGTGAAAGGGCCTGCAGCTGCAGGTTGCCTTGTGTCCAGAACTGCTGGCCAGCTTGATCCAGTTTTCAGGTGGGGTGTGTGTTGGGGGGTGAGTTCATCTTAAAGTCCCATGAGACCAACCTGAAATTCTGATGGGAGCAGGGGTGGGGATGTGTGAAGGACCCAGGCAGAAGGGCCTGCAGCCACAGGCCACCTGGTGTCTGGAACTGCTGGCTGGCTCAATCCAGTTTGCAGGTCCATTTTACCCCTAATTCTGACCCCCTGCCCTTTCCCACACTCCTCTGACACTGTCTCTGGTGTCTACTGTTGTTTTCCATTTCTTTTTCCTCCACGATGTCTTAAATAACCTAACTTTTAACTACTTTCAATAGCATGTTCAGCTGGTAATTTCAAGAAAAGCAGTTTTAAATTTAATAAATCAAAGAAAGGCTAAGGAACTTTCCGTAAAACTTAAAGCCAGGAAATAGGAGTATTTTGTTCGAGTAGAAGGTACATAAATCTATAGACAGCTCAAGACAGGACAAAAACCAGAAAACAAAGCCTAGAAGAAAATAAGCAATATTTTAATCAAAAGTCATAAAATGCTATTTCATCAGTTCAATCTCATGTACTTAATCTATCTTCTGTTGTGGTTTGATCTTCCTGATTAAATTCTGGGATATAATATTCAACTCCAGACTTGACCCTATGATTAAGTTGGCCACTTTAGTTTTTGAACTCTTATTTCTGTGTGTCTGTATTTAATTTTCCTGATATAGCACACCCTTGAAAACTTCTTGGAGATCTGGTCTTGTGCTGGTAAATTCTTTCAGGTTTTATCTGAGAATATTCTTGTCTTTTCTTCCCACATGAAAGATAATCTTGCCGGGTACAGTATTCTCGGCTGAAATTGCTTTTTTCTTAACACTTTGAATATATTTTCTCATTCTTTCCTCACTCGCATTGTTTCCAATGAGAGATCTGCTGTTAGTCTGATGGGATGTCCTTTGTAGGTAACTTGATGTTTTTCTCTTGCCAATCTTAGTATCTTGTCTTTGTCTGTGGTTTGGTCAACCTGGCTATAATGTGTCTTGGAGGAGATCTTCTTGGGTTGATTCTATTTGGGGTCCTTTGTATTTCTTGGGACTGGATCTTTGAGTGCCTGTCTAGGTTTGGAAAGTTTTCTTGCAGAATTTCATGGAATAGATTATGAGTCTCTTCCCCTTCTGGGATGCCAATTATCTGGATATTTGGATGTTTGATGGTATCTAGTACTTCTCATATATTAATCTCAAATATTTGGGCAATTTTCTCAGTCTTTGTGGTGGATTTTTCTAGACCACCAATTTTCTCTTCTACCTCTGAGATTCTATTTTCTGTATGATCTAGTCTGCTTCTAATACTTTTAAGGGAGATTTTGACTTCCTGTATTATAGTCTTCATCTCTAACAGTTCCATTTGATTCTTTTGTACAGTGTGTAATTCCTCTTTTAGATCTTCCAAGAGTGTCTTCACATCCTGGAATTCATCAACTCCTTTCTCCTTTCTCTTCTGCAGTTCATTGTCTCTCCTCTCTTCCATCTCTGTTAGCTTCGCCATAATGAATGTCTTTAATTCTTTATCAGACATTTCCATGATTTCCATTGAACTGTCTGTGGATGAAGAGGAGTTATTATTTTCTCTTGGAGGAGAGTTATTTTCTTGCTTTTCCATATTTCTTGTGGTCCTGAGGTGATTTCTAGTCATCTGATGGATGTGTGTTTCTTCCCAAACTTGAAGTTTAATCATGGGAGTTTGTGTGCTGGAAGATGAATTCTCAGTGGAACATCTTCATTTCTCCTCTTCCTCTGAAATCACTAGTTCTCAGGAGCCATGAAGGTGTCTTCTGATTTGCTCCCCCCTGCCTCTACACGTGAGTTTGTGGGTTGGAGGCCGAATTCTCAGTGGAAAATCTTCATTTCTCCCATTCCCCCGAAATCACTAGTTCTCAGGAGCCATGAAGGTATCTGGCCCTAGTTTTTTCACAATATGCATTTTTCATGAGATTTTTGAAGATCTCTCATGGAACAACATTGAGAGAATGAAACTCTAGAATTCCTAGATATTCCAAGGAGGAGAGACTGTCCTTGTGATAGTAGCAATTCTGAGATTAGGAAGGGTTGGGTCCAAGGAAAATAGCTAAAGTAGAGTGCAATACCAGCTCAGGATGGCTAGAGAATGTGAGGGGGGCACAGGTGCTAGGGATCTGTGTGGGTGACCTGGAACGCATCTGTTGAAGGGACATTTCCAACATGCTATCTAGGTGCTAAATACAGTCTTGTGGGGGGAGGGAAGGCATTTGGAGGAAAAGAAATCAATTTTAAAAGCCCAGAACTAATATGACTTAACTCTCAGTACAGTGTAGGTGCTATTTCAGAGGTGTCATCTGGGTGGGGTGTTCAGCAGAGCCAGGGCATCCATCCACTCAGGGCAGCTCTTCTTCTCTGAAAGGCACCAGAAGTTGGGGATCAAGGGATGTTTTCAGTTAACATGTTGCTTTGTTCTCTGGCCAGCCCAGGGACTGTGATTCTGGGGTGAGGTTCAGGGGAAGTTTTGCAAGGAAGGGATGGACTTGGCCTTACTGAGCCCATAAGAGCAGGTCCAGAATGGACAATGATGCCCACAGCATGCCCTGCCGTGACCTCTTAGTGAATGTCCCCCACTTACACTCTAGCTCAACCTACTATTGAGCTTTGGATCTCCATGGGCCTGTGGGTTCCATTCTGTGTTATCAACTGCTGGTTGAGAAGGTCTGGGGGTGTACAGATCTGGCCCTTTCCAGATGAGGTTAAAGGTCACCTGAAGTCCTAGGGAATGTGTGAAAGTGTTTATCATTGCTTAGAGGAAAAGGTGAAGAGAACTTGGATAGGAACAGGCTGTGATAAGGAGCCCGGGACAGAAGGACTTAGAAACCCCATCCTCAGGATGTCCTTGTCACAGGCCAAAACTGCAGTGTGGGGCCGGCTCCATAGGCTAGTGGCTCAGGGAGAGGGATCCCAAATGAATGACAGTGGTTCAAATTCCAGCTCCAGTGGTTTGAAAACACACAGGCATGTGTGTATGTGCGTGTCCAAAATCCTGACAGGATGGAGAAATGGAGGAGAAAGGATTTTCACATGATAATCCTCCACTGGGAAGGTGCCTGTTCAGTCTGTCTGCCTTTCTGGTGAGCTTACGCTCCTTCTGGGAATAAAAGGTAATAATTTTGCCTCTGTTTCTCACAACATACCCCTTTCATTACAGTCTTAAGGGAAAGATGTTTAACTCCAGCTTAATATTTGTAGTCACTGAAGAATCTGAGAACAAACATTAACTGGAAAATTGTCTCTGGCTCTAGGAATTTGAAGGCTACATTAATGCCTCTGGAGAACATGGAATTGTGGTTTTCTCTTTGGGATCTATGGTCTCAGAGATTCCAGAGAAGAAAGCTATGGAAATAGCTGAAGCTTTGGGCAAAATACCTCAGACGGTAAGAAAACAAGACAATTTCTTTACGTCTATCCTCACAGGCGTTCTGGTCCCAACTCCCAGGAGCTACATTAAGTCTATTAGCTGGAACTTTAGATCTGGGTTTTCTCTGCAATTCTCCCACTATGAATCCAAAGTTTTTTCTTTTTTCTTTTTTGTTTTAAATCTCAGCTATGTGTGAAACCATGGTCCACTGCTCAGAAGTCTCATTTTCTCTAAGAGTCTCCAAACTGCATTAAGAGGAATTTATTTAAAAATAAACAAGCTATTGATTTTCCATATTAAATGGGAATATGTCTGCCTAAAATCACTGGTTAAGACACTGGATTTCTTTCTTATTTTTCTGCTTTTGTTGTTCAGCATATACTCATTTTAATTAGTAGTTTCCTTTGAAGAGCAGGAAGGTGGAAAAATGAAAAATGCACAGCTCAGTGAATTTTCTTTCTTTCTTTCTTTTTCTTTTTCTTTTTCTTTTCTTTCTTTCTTTCTTTCTTTCTTTCTTTTTTTTTTTTGACAGATTTTTGCTACAGGGCGTGGCACTCACTAGAAAGACAGAAAGAGACAGAGAGATAGAAACGAGAAATCACCTCCGAGGGGGGATGACCATGCTGCAATCCCTTCTCCTCCACTTTCCTCTAGGGATCTTGGACCTGCACGCACATGTGCCCGGTGTGAGATTAAGCCACAGGGTCCTGGATTTGAACTGTGGTTGACTACATGGGCGTCTAGCGACATAGCCATTACGCTAACTGCTGGTCCCAGCTCAGTGAATTTTCACAAGAAGTGAACACGCCCTTGTACCCAAGCTGCCCTGGAAGTCTTCTCAGTCACTAAACCACACATCCTCATGGAAGAAGTTTATGTCACTCACAGGTCCTATTTCCAAGCTACCAGAGCAGACTTGTTTTGTTTTTAAGTCATATTATGTTTTTTTCTTTCAATTCTGTTCTTTTGTCTCTACTAGGTCCTGTGGCGGTATACTGGAAGCCGCCCATCAAACCTTGCGAAGAATACGATACTTGTCAAGTGGCTACCCCAAAAAGATCTGCTTGGTATGTCGGGAGGGCTTTACATGGAGGGGGAAAGAGGAGAGAATGGCTTGGGCGTGGTTGCTCTTAACGTGTGTTTGTCTTGGGAAGATTACGGACAACATGTCTGCATTGCTTTGATCTAGTGGGGCTATGTCAGCCCACATTTTCTGTAAACTTCTGCAAGGGCTGCACGTGGACTGTCCTGAGTCCTCCTTAGGGGATTTCACGGTCTAGACGATGTCAGTCTGTGACACCGACCACCTGACCACAGGCATCCCCTCACTTTGCTTCTCAGCTCACCCAAAGACTCGTGCCTTCATCACGCATTCCGGCTCCCACGGCATTTATGAAGGAATATGCAATGGTGTCCCGATGGTGATGCTGCCCTTGTTCGGTGACCAGATGGACAACGCCAAGCGCATGGAGACCAAAGGAGCTGGAGTGACCCTGAATGTCCTTGAAATGACTTCTGAAGATTTAGCAAATGCTCTAAAGACAGTCATCTTTGACAAAAGGTAACAAATTCCAGACAGATACTACCTGTATTTTGGCCATAGAATCCCTGATACATATTCAAACATAAAAAAAAAAATCAGATAAAATCTAGGTTTAGAAAAATGTTGGGGATTTGCTTATTCACCATATAAAAGGGTCCTTCAGTTTTTGAATAATTTTTAAATAAATGTTGCTATAGGGTTTGTGTGCTCGTCAGAGATAGAGAGAAGGAGAATGAGAGAGAGAGAAGAAAAGTGAGAAGTACACCCCACACTGCAATCCCTTCTCTTCCATTCTCCTCTTGGAAGAGGAGTTTGCACACACACATGTGTTCGGAGTGGTTTTCAAACACTGAGTCCAGGACTCTATCTGTACAAGCAAGCTTGTGACTCTATCTGTACAAGCAACCTCCACATCACCCACTGGCCTTAGTTCTTGATTAATTCACATTTAATTCATTTAAAATTTTATTTTCCCAAGTAGATTTAAAATTTTAATTTATAAAAAGTCACCCTAATAGACATCTGATATATAAATTCCTTCAAAGAGTGAAATACTGCATTATAAGAAGCATAGTGTCCGAAGATGAAAACAAAACAGGTGCTTAGAAGCACAACTTCCAAAGCCCTGAAGCCTGTGTGAGTTTTGTGCATGGGGCTTTATAAATAGGGGTGTCATATGATATCACAGATACAGGCTTAGAACAAAAGCAAATGCAAAGTTGTTCAAATGTGGCCCTGAGAACTGCTCAAATGTCATTGGAATAAATGTTGTTTGCATTAACTGAGTGTATGGTTGACCAGTTGTCAAGTACTGATCCCAGGCTGATCAAAACCTTATGGGAAGTATCACTGTCCAGAAGTCGATTTCTCCCAATAGCATGTGTGTGTGTGTGTGTGTGTGTGTGTGTGTGTGTCCATTTGTGTATGTATGTGGACATGTGTCTAGGCATACAAGTGTGTGTTTGGGCACGTGTTTAGACACACATGTACACACACATGAGTGTGTATGTGTATGTCTGTGAGTACGTTGGGAGCTTTCAACCATAGGTGCTCCTTTAGAAAGAGTCATGGTGGTGGGGGGTGGGTCAGCATATGGTGTAATGGTTCTCATAGGACTCCCATATAGTTGACCATAGTTTGAGTCTTGGACTTAGTGGATTAAAACTCACAATGGGAACATGTACATACGTGCTAAGATTCTTAGCAGAGAATGAAGAAGGGACTGAGGCATGGTCATCTGCCTTGGGAGGTAATTTCTTGCTTTCTGTCTCTCTGGTGAGGGCATGCACTGTAGAGCAAAAGAAAAAGTCTCTAAACAAGTAAACAAAAAATAAAAAGCAAATATTAAAAAAAAGAGATTTAAGTCAGGAAGATGGATGTGAAAAACTGGAGTGTGTTCAGCTGGGAGGAGTTGCTACCAGGGGAGACACCAAGCATGGATAAGGGGTGTTGGGGATGCTGCGGGACTGAGAACTGACTTCCAGCCTTCTAGATGCTGGTGTGTGTGTGGTGCTAGTGGATAAAAGAAGTCCAAAGAATGTCTGGGCCAAGTGCCAGAGTGCTAGGCCGTGTGGATTTCGCCCCTCATCCCAGTCGTCACTACTGGCAGTGGATGCTGCTCACCTGTCCATACCATAAACCTGACTCTTTCCACGTGAAAAAACTCATTCTTGAGGCTCAAAGTATAATATATTAAGTCGTTGGAAAAGTCATGACATATTTTACTATGTTTTTCTATGCAACAAGGCATCCTGACTTTTCAGAACACCGAATGGTTTTGATCCTCTGTGCAGTGGTATAGATAACTAGTTGTGGGTTAAAGTAGACTTGGTTGAACTTCTCCAGTACATTTGTATTTTCTAAAGACACTAATCAATCAGATTTAGCTATGAACTAACTCCTCTGTTCCTTTTTTGAGCCATCTCTATCTGATTGTGAATTTCCATGGTTCCAGCCCCCTGAGCCAAGACCTTCACCTAAACAAAATAAAGTGAAATGGCAAATTTTCAAATATCAGTTTGTAGAGGCAACCAGGGCATCATAGGTGCTCAATAACTATTGAATGACTGAAAGTTTTAAGAGGATCTATCTTAAGAGAAGATTTATATAAAAGGAATGTGCTTAATGGAATTTATGCCCAAATATTATATGACGTTATACCAATGTATCCAAATAAACATCACGGATATGTCTAAGGACCGCAGAGACCCTAGCTGGCCCTGAATAGGACTGTCTTCTGTTCAGCTCTCCCTTTTCTTTTCAATCGCCTCCTCTTTTCCCTTCTCTACCTTCTTCTAGTAAATCTACACTATGGGTTGAAGCATCTAACTCATTTTGGATTTAGATTTCCTGATTCAGCTGTCAACACCATCCAACATAAACAGCCGTCCATTTAGTATAAGCAAGATGCTGGTGTGTGTGTGCAGCCTCATGCAAAATTTAGTCCTTGGAAAGTTTGATGTGTTTCAGTGATTTGATTGAAAGAATACGACCACCTTAGAGTTGGCATTTAATAATGACTAATTTGGCCAGGTGTGATTGTTTACAACCTTAAATGAGAGACCATTCACAATTTGTATGACCTTTTCTTTTCTTTTAGAATAAACAAGGTATAACTTGATTTCCCACAAAATTCTTTTTTTGTATCTAACTTCTCAAAGATACCATTTAAAAGAAAAGAAGGAAAGGAAGAAGCAAGGTTTGTCAGTGTAGAATTAGGAACCAGTGATACAGTGGTAACATGGGATGGTCCGTGACGCTGACCCACGTGGGAAGGTTCGAGTTTGAACCTCCCCGCCCACCCCAGGCATTCAGGTCTTGGTGATCTCGCCTGGCTAAGGCTGTGTGGTTTGTGACTTCAAGACCTGTTGGAGGCGCTGTCTCTTTCTGTCTCTCACGCTCTCATGGAAGAAACAAACTACAATTTAGTACGATTATAATGTCGAATTTCGGTCTCGATCCCTCCCTTCTTCCTTCTTCCTTTTCCTTCTTAAGAGCCTTTCTCTCTCTCTCTTTTTTCCCCCCCTTTTGTGAGAAATACCACTTACTAAGTATTGTTCGCGTGCATGTTCTTTCTTGTTATCATGGAAACAATTTTCCTCTGCCATGTTCGGCAAGGCTGGGCTCACTCCACACGGGAGGCAAGCGTGGCGGAGTGCTCATCCTCCTGGTGTCCCAGGCACTAACACGACCCTCTCTGTGTTTAGCTACAAGGAAAACATCATGCGCCTCTCCAGTCTTCACAAGGACCGGCCCATAGAGCCTCTGGACCTGGCTGTGTTCTGGGTGGAGTTCGTGATGAGGCACAAGGGGGCACCCCACCTGCGCCCTGCAGCCCACGACCTCACTTGGTACCAGTACCACTCCCTGGCTGGGATGGGCTTCCTCCTGGCCATCGCCCTGACGGTGGCCTTCGTCACCTTTAAAATCTGTGCCTGTGGCTTTCGGAAATGCTTCGGTAAAAAAGGGCGGGCGAAGAAAAGCCACAAATCCAAGGCACACTGAAAAGTGGGTGGAAAGTAAGGCGACATTTTAATCCAGACCCCGGCCATTTCGAAACCTGCAAGCAGAATCAGTATTAAATTCACTTTATTCTTATTAAAGAAGTGCTTCGCCAAAAGTTGGGCATTCTTCTCAATGTTCTTTTTCTTTTTAATGGGGTGAGAGTGTTCCTGACAGGGTCTTGCCACCCAGCTAGCCGAGCTCACAGGTGTCGCTGTAATGCACCTGCCCAAGTCGCTCCTGGGATTTATCCTGGCATCCATGGGCGCCTCCATGGCTGAGCCCTCAATGTGGCCTTTTTTTTATTTGTAAAAGAATAATCACCGATCACACCTGTAAGGTAAGATATTTCAGTATGTATTCTGCCCCCTCTGTTGTCTTTAACCTCTGTTGCAGTGAGGACTGGCCCTGAGAGTGGCATGTCTTGGAAATATGGCCTGTTTGGGTGCACAGGATTCAAAGGTGGTCCCACGGCTGGTGTCCCCCACTTGGGATGACTATTTCTACTTCATCCTAAGCTTCTGCAGACTGTCATATGGTCGACGATGACTTCAATAATGATTGATGCACCTTTATGTTCAGGTTTCAAATGTGTCAGGCTGTGTTCAATGAAACATTTGTACCTCCAGGGTAGAGTTAGAAGGAATGAATGGCTCAGAGTCCTTGAGAATGGTGTATGATTCGCTTTATGGAAAAATGAACTATTAAATTGGCGAATGACTTGCTCGAGAGGATAATTATTGCTTGTGTCGAGTGGATCTGAATTTGCTAAAAATCAGAAGTAGAGTGCTGGGCACGTGCATGTTTGCTGCTGTTACCTACAGCTAAAAAATATATCAATAAATTCATGCGAATTACATTTCTTAGTGTTTTTCCCTTTATTGGTGTTGCATGTTTTAATTGTGAAAGTAATGTAGAATTATGACAGATAATTTGAAAAATACAGATGTTCACACATGCACACATAAGAAAAATTGTTAGTAGTTTCATGCCTGGAAATAATCATTATTATTTTGACAAATACATAAAATATTAGACATGCCAAATATACCTAGTGTTTTGTAATGTTTTGTATCTACATCATCGTATTGTGAATGCTTTCCTAATTTTTTTTTTGTTGTCGTTGTAGGGCATGTGTTTTTGCTAGAGAGAGACAGAGAGGGAGAGATGTCACCTCCAGGGGGATGGTCATGCCACAACCCTTTCTCCATTGTCCTTGAGGGATTTTGGTCATGTCTGCACTCAAGCCTGGTGTGTTTTTGAAGCTGCTAGGTCCAGGACTTGAACTGCAGATTCAGCTATGTGAGATTCAATACCTTCACTGTGGCACCTGCCAGCCCCATTTCCAATGTTTTTATAGAACATTTCATTCTTTTTTAATGATGGAGTGTTCTACTGCATGCATATTCCAGAACTTAACCACATCTTTAAACAAAGGGCCTCCCTTTGGCTGGCTCTATATCCCAATGGTCTAAGATAGATCCCATATGGCTGACAGTAGCTCAAATCCTGGCCCTGGCAGTTTGAAAAACATGCCAGTCTGTGTGTGCCTGCCCCAAATCCCGACAGGATGGAAAATGGAGGAGGGATTACAGAATGACGGTGCCCCATTGAGGGTGCTTTCTCTTTCTTTCTGTCTCTCTCTAGCAAGTGCATACACCCTCTGGCAATTTAAAAACAAGGAAGACCTCATGGAATGTCCTAATAGCTAATTCTTCACACACAATCAAGATAATTTCCATGGGAAAGGGCTTCAAAACAAATGACTAGTCCTCCTGGTTTGGATTTCTGGGTGAGGATTCAGGGGCCAGGAGATTATTTGGGAAGGAGGGAAAGCACTGGTAGGGGAGTGAGAAAAGTGAAACCTGCCAGCAGGTGCAGGTTCTCTTATGGGCAACTGAGGCTGGATCCGCTGGGTCACTCTGGGGCTTGGAAAGCAGCCAGAGTATTCCACCTGAGGAACATGGCTGTTGGTATTTGAGCCCGTGCCTGTCAGTGATGGGCTGAGACCAGCTCCAGGTGCATTTAATTTCTCTGCACTTCCAGGTCTCTTAAAAAAGTTCTTAAATAGACAGAGGGAACCAGAAGAGAACTCAGCCTTCAGGTTGCTGGACTCCCACATGGCTCACGGCTGTTCATGTTCGGGACCCTGTGGCTTGAAAACCATGTCTGAGTATATGTGCTTGCATGCCCAAGATTCCAGAAGAATGGAGAAGGGATTGTGGTTTGGCCATCCCTCCTGTGGAGGGTGGTGATTTCTCATTTTCCCTCTCACTCTCTCTCCCCCCGACTCCCGCACTTGCCCTAAGCAAAAAACCCAGTCAGAGAGAGATGTGCAGGGGTGGTGTTGAGGGTGGGCCCAAGGACTGACAAATTAAGGAGGGGATGCAGGTCATGACCTGCAGGCACTATCACCCTGGACCCACGGCTTAAGATGTTCCCAAACTGCATCTGGAGGGTTGTCATCAGTGTGAGGGCTAGGAGCTAAGTCACCCTCAGGATGAAGTACTCTCCAATGAAGAAAATCTATCAGTTGGATAGGTGAAAAGTGGGATTAAAAAAAGGAAAAGATAATTGGACCAGTTGGTGGCATGGATACATGTGCCCAAAAGTCTACGGAGAAGGGACTGCAGTGTGAACATTCACTACAAGGTGATGCTTGCCATTTTTCTGCTGTCTCTGCTGAGTGCACGTGCCAGGTGGCAAATTTAAAAAAGAAAACCTAGATTCAACATATCTAAACAACCCAAACTTATTACAACACCAGCACTTACATGCAACTAAAAGCCATCTTTATTTTCACTAACAAGAAGTATTACTAATACACTCAAATCTTATTTTTAAGTTTATTTTTTTTTCCATAGATGGGTGTGCTCACCAGGAAGAGAGGAGAAAGGGAAACCACCACCACCCCCATGCAGGGGTTTGCCACACTGCAATGCCTTCTCCATTTTCCCCTTGGGATCTTGAGCATGCATGCACACATACCCAGCATGATTTTCAAGCCACCAGGGCTGAGAATTTAACCACAGTGACCCATTTGGGAGTCCAGCGCCTTAATGACCCTGCCACCTAATGGCCCTAATACACTCAAATCTTTTGCCATATGTGCTCCAAATAGAAAAACGTTCAAGGTGCTGTGATGAGCATTTCTTCCTAGCACTATGAAACAGTGGTAAGCCTCAGGATTAAGTTTAATAAAGAGCAAAATTCATACAGATATTTACAACAATTTTAAAGACAAAAAGAAGTCTATTCGTGTGGTTCTGACGGTAACAATGAATACGGTGCTGGCATGTACTGTTTATAGATTCTTGGGTGCAGGTGTTCTGAAAGTGGAGTTCCCGCGCAATCTTAAAATTAGGTCCTGCAATTCCTCAAATGTGCCTCGGAGTCAGACAGACGGCGTTACTTGGTGTCAATGTGGAGCAGCTGCTCTTTGCCTTTTATTATCAGGGACTTTAACTCTCCGTCTTCTTCCACTTCCACCCTTTCTTGGCCATTCTCAATGATTCTCTGGGTGGTGGTTTTTTTTGCCGTTAACTATCTCGGTGGAAGTCGACAGGGACTTGAAGCTGCCTGCCGCACCACTCCCACACGACATGGAGAAGGAAGAAAGGCCCCCATTTCCCAGGGGGCCAAAGGACGAAAATCCTGGATCAAAAGAGGAAAAACCACCTCCAAAAGCTGGAAACTGATTGAAGGTGGAGAAAAGCGGTGCTGACCCTCTGCTTCTGCTTCCCCGGGAGCTCCTTCGACCCCCGAAAACGTTCTCAAGCGGGTCTCCGAAGAAGTCAAAGGAAAATGGGTCGCGGCCACCAAAGAACTCCCTGAAGACGTCGGCCGGGTCGCGGAAGCTGAAGACGTCCTCGAAGGGGTCGTGGAAGGGCGCGCCGCCGCCGCCTCCGCTCACCCCGGCCTGGCCATAACGGTCGTAGACGTCCCGCTTCTTGGCGTCCGACAGCACCTCGTAGGCCTCGGCCACCTCTTTGAATCTCTTCTCCGCCTCCTCCTTGTTCTCCGGGTTTTTGTCGGGGTGCCACTTGAGGGCCAGCTTGCGGTACGCCTTCCTGATGGCCTCACCTGGGAGTAGTCCACCATGTCGGAGGGCCGCAGGCCTCGTGCCTGGGTAGGGGAGCTCAGCGGGCAGAACCGCGTGGCCCCAGCACGGGAACGCTGGGCTGATAGACGCCTGTGTTGGGGGGCGCCGCTTGTGACGTAGCCACATCCCATTGGTCAAAGTCAGTCTGGGCACCGCATCCCAGAATGCCACGCGAAGAGCTAGCTGACTCCTAGCAAGGGGCTCCGGGACGCTCCCCGCCCACAGGCGCGCCCAGGCTCAGCCCCCACCCGTGCTCCGCCCCCCCAGCCCAGGTCACTAGGGGAGTAAAAGGGCACTTTCGTCTGTAAAGGGAGGACCCTGCCTGGCTGCCCTAGGAAATGTTTTCCCTAAAGTCGGCTTTAGAACAGGCCTGGGGAGGGGTAGGGTGATGGGGTGGGTATTATCACACCTTGGGAGTCATGGCGTTTGAAAACTAGGACAATAATTCTCAAATGTTTTGTCCTCGGGGCTTACGTTTTGGTGGATTGTATCTGTAGTATGTATGGCGCCAGATATTAAAACTGAAAATTGAAAGACTGCATTCATTCGCCTAATTAACAATAAATCCATTCCATGCTAATATAAATAATACCTCGATGAGAAAATATATGTTTCAGATCAATAACATTTAGTGAGAAAAAGAGCATTGTTTTACAGTTTTGCATCTCTCCTTAGTATCAGACTCAGTAGAAGAGCACCAGATTCTCTTGTCCACTTCTGTGCTTTTTTTTTTTTTTTTTTTTTTTTTTTTATTTCAAAGGGGGGGGGTGGGTTTAGAGAAGTAAGCACAGTCAGAGAAGGAGGAAGCAGCCCCACCCAGTGGCACTGGTCTAGCTGCAATCCCTCGTTTTTCGTCTGTCATCCTACTGGGGGTTTGGGATGTGCATGGAAATGAGTCTCCTATGGTTTTCAAACCACTGAGACTGGACTTTGAACCATGTGGAATCAAGTCCCTTAGTTGCAGTATCATCCTTGCCTAGAGCCTTTGGGAGACCCTAGGGTACACTTAGATGAGAGTGAAAGTGAAAAAGTCAAATGCATCTATGTTATGGAAATTGTTTTGACTTTGCAAAATTCCTCTGAACAATGTTCAGAGATTCCCAGCATTGCCTGGTTCAGTCTTTGAGAGCTGGTAGTTTAGTATGGTCAGCCTGGCATGTCCACAAGTGTATATCAGATTATTAAAACATGCAAACTAGGAGACTAGTGCTGTAGGTGAACGTGGGATAAAGTGACTATTTCCCCTAAAATGGCTGTGTCATAGCCATGATTTTTTCTTGGCATTTGTTGATACCTGAGTTCTCTCCATTTCTATATTCTGTCCTTGACACCATAGTCTTGGCTGCAATAAATTGTGAGGCAACACACTAATAAAAGTCACTTAGGTCTACTGGAAAATGATTAACCAATGAACTTTCTAAGGTTTCATCATGCAGGGTGGTGGGTCTAGAGGGTGCGTGCTATCTCACTGGATCATACTGCCCAATTGTAATCATCTTGAGCAATGGAGGAGAGTCACTGGACTTGGCACTTGGTAACCACGCAATAAACAGTAGTAGGAAGCTGGTAAGAGTAGAGTCCAGCATGAGCAAAGCAACTGAGGACAGTGCGAAGGGAGTTTTAGAAAGGCAAGTGATCCAAAATGGCTGGAGGGTAAGGAGCAGAGGACAGGGAAGAAGAAGGGCTAGGGAGAAGGAATGAGCATGGACAGTGGGCCTGAGTCTACCCAGGGAATCCTGAGGGCAAGACCGTGGAGTCTGGATTTTCTTCTGTTTCCTAGGAAGCTGCTGACCAAGATGCCAGAAGTGGCAGTGGGTGCAGGTACAGGGGCAGCTTGTTCAGTGACAGAGGGATGGTTAGTGGTTGTAGTTCTGTGGGCTGGGGCCTTGAAAAGGGACCAGGGGGGACCAACAGTTAGTGTAATGGCTATGTCGCTGGACTACCATGTAGTCAATTGTGGTTCCATTCCTGACCCATGGTTTAAAACTCATGTCAGGCACATGTGTGTACATTCCCAAGATCCGGAGAGAAGAATGGAGGAGAAGGGATTGCTGCATGGTCATCACCCCTGGGGGGAGGGGTGATTTCCCACTTTCTGTCTCTCTGTCTCGCTCTGTCTGGCAAGTGCACGTGCCATATAGCAAAAACAAACAAACAAAACCAAAAACCAAAAACCAACCAAACAAAAAAACCTCTCCAAAAAAAACAAACAAAAAAAAAAAAGAAAAAAGGAAAAGGACTATGGCAGGGGGTCTGAGAGACAGTGGTAGAATCATCTAGATTCAGCACTTGCTTGCATGTGGGACCCAGGACAAAGGGGGAAGGGAAGCCATATCTGTGTGAAGCATTTACTGTGCATTTCTCTCTGCACAGCCATGGACTGGCACTGAGTGACAGAGTGATTGCAGAGTGGAAACCCAGCCTACAAGAATATTACAGGACCAGCTTGTGGCTCAGTGGTTCAGGTGCCTGGAAACCAGAGGGCTGACTGTCCTGGTTGAGTCCTGGACCTGGTGGCTTGAACAACACTGCAAAATTGCAAGAAGAGATTGAAGTAGAAGGGACAGTGTCACAGCCAGCACCCTAGTTGGTGACTTCTCTCTCTCTCTTTCTTTCTCTGTCTCTCTGTCTCTCTCAGTCTATCTGATTTATGGCTAGAAAAACTAAAACAAAAGTTCTGTGCATATCCACCGTCTGGCAGTGAGAACAGATGTGCAAACTGCTGCTGGATACAGGCAGAACAGAACAAAATGGTGCCGGAGAGTCAGGGAAGTTGGCTTTGTTTCCTGAGACCCGGTAGACGCGTTGCAGGCGGCAATGGGAGTGTTCATGCTGCTCCTCTGGTTCTGATCCCATCAAAGGAGCTAAGAGGGTGCGAGTGGTGTAGACACCGACTCTGGCTTCAGGTGAAAAGGAAAGCACCTCCTAATGGGTTTCGGGAGTGCTTTGTGGACACCCCAGTTTTCAGCAGACCCCAACGCAAGACCACGCCACTGCCTCATGTGTTTCCTTGGCCATCAGAGCACCCTGTCCTGCCCTGGAACTGCCTGGTTTGGGTTGGTCTTTGCCCACTGGAGCCCTCCTTCTAGGCAGGGACCATTCCTCACTTGGTTTCCTGGGCCCAGCTGCTGGCATAGTGTCTGGCACACAGCAGGACTCACGTGTTCTGTGAATATTTGGTAAGTGAGGGAGTGAGTAATGGGTACGTGGTGTTGCATCTTCTCAGGTTCCGGGGCAGAAGGCTTACTTGGTGCTTGGTGCTGGTCCTCAGCCCTAATCCTTACAGGGAGTGTGGACTGCCTGCCACTCAGACTGCAGGTGGAGAACCCCTAATCCCGAACACCAAAATCCGAATACTCCACAATCTGAAAAAAGTGCTTTTTGAGTATTGCCATGATGGCACACGTGGAAAATTTCATATCTGATCTGATGTAACCAGTCTTATATAATAGTATATAAAATTCCCTTCGGGCTGTATAAGGTAAACATGAAATAGAAGTGAATTTCCTGTTTAGACTTGGGTTCCATCCCCAAGAGATCTCATTTTGTGCAGGTAAATCTCCCTAAATATAGAAAACATGAAACTGAAACGTGTAGTCCCAAACTTCTTGGATATGGGATACTTGGTCTGAAATGAACAACATTCCCTGGTCTGGGGCAGAGATGGGCCCCAAACCATCCAGGTACACAGTCAACTCAAAAACCCTGAGACTTGAGGCCAGCAGATAGTATAATGATTATGTTGGTGAATTCCCACATAGTTTACCATGGTTTGAGTCCCGGACCCAGCAGCTTAAAACTCACACCAGGTCCAAAATCCTGAGAAGTGATTTTTCACTTTCTGTCTCTCTGTCTCTCCAGCAAGCACACATGCTTTATAGCAATAATTTCTCTTAAAAAAAAAAAAAGAAAAAAAGCTCCGAGGCTCTGGGTGATGTAGGAAAGTCATAAAACCATCACAGAGGTGACTGTGTGTGCTTACAGACCCTTTGCTCCGAGTTATCTACAGAAGAACTCTCACGACATTGGGAGTTTGGATGAATTATCTTTGAAATTTATGTTGGACCGTGAACTTGAGAATTGCTGATAAGGAGACCAAAAAGCACAGAAGCATAGCTACATGTTTCCTGCTCACCATCAATATTGGTCCTAAGGAATGAAGAGTATTTGGGGTTGGGGAGGTGCTTAGGAGTACATGTGGTTGTGTGTGAATGTATCTGTAAAACCACATGTAGGCACGATGGTCTTGAGGAAGGATGGTGGTCCAGGGAAAGGGAACTCTCTATACCTACTCTAAGATTGAGAGGGGGCCGGTTATGATGTCCCACAGGACACCAAAGCCTTTAGGCTAGCAGTTTCTCTGTGACACTCCAAGCTCATCCCCAAGCATGGGCGGCCAGGAGGTCTGTGGATGAAGTGTTGAATGTGCTTTCCTCCTGGCATGGAGCAGGACAGCAGTGGAGCCCGACAAGAGCGTGAAATGCTCAGTTCTGCACACACCCCACTTTGGCCTTTCTTCAGGAACTACTGCTGGCCTCCGGGGCACCAGCTGGCAGTGGGCACTGCTGGGTGAGCCCCTTGGTCTTGGCCTCAAAGCCCTGCCTGCCGTCTAATTCTCTCCACTGATTTCCACTGGGTGATGACTGTGTGTAAATTCATTCAGAAGCTTTTATGTCACCGAGGCCCTGCCTGAGGCCAGGGGCAGTCATCCAGAGCAAGGATCTCAGCTCTGCTATTCAGTGAATACAGGAAAGGGCACGTCTTTGCCGCTCTCTGCCTCAGTATCTTCATTCGTAAAAGGGGAAATGATTGGGTCGTCGGGAAGTCCTGATACATAATTGCATAAAAAAGTCCTAACTTTCCTAGTGCCCTAATGGTATCTCCCTTTTAGGAACAGTCTAAGGGACTCCAAGAAATGTGCTGTGAAATGCTTAGAGCCTACTCGGCACACAGTACACTCACGAGAAAGGCAAATTCGTGTTATCCTTGCTGTTTGCCTCTCCCCTTTACCTTCAATTCGGTCATCAGAATTTCCTCAGTGTCTTATTTCCCACACCGGGGTGGGTGACGGGCACAGTTCAGCTCGCTCCAGTTTGCAATCTGATTAGGGTCCCTAGCCACAGACGATGGCTCCCGCTGTCTGTCTGCCCAAGTGCAGATCTGTCCTTGGGAAGACATCCGTGCATTCACACTCAGGTGGGTCTCCTTCCAGCCTTTCTCCACCCCTGCATTGGCGCTGGCTGCTGCCCCTCCCTGCTCATTCCCCTCCTCGTCCATTCCATAGTCCTGGAAGTCCCGTTGACCTGTCTAACTCCTAAGTCTGAGTCTCACTGGACTCAGCTCTGGGGGCAGGAGGCTCATCCGTGGTGGTCTCCACTGCAGCCTGAAGACCCAGCAGGATGCCAGAGCCCATACGTAAGTGTTGTTGGGTGAATAAAAGATATGCACGTGGTGAGGCAGAGCCCGAGTGAGATGTCGACGGTTCTTTTTTAAAGGTGTCCATGGGCCAAAGGAGGGTCCTGTTCTCTTCCTTCTAATGGGCTTTGACTCATTTCTGTGAAGGAGGTCCTCCTTCTGTGAAGGAGGATTTATCACCACATAGTTCTTTTTCTTCTCTGGTAACCTTTTTTTTTTTGTCCCATGGAAATACCAATTTAATGGGTTCCACTGCATGAGCAAAAGTTCATTAGTTTAACGGACCCAAGGCACTTTGTGTGTTCACTCCAGGTGTACTTTGAGTAAGGAATTCTGGCCAGATCAAGCGATGTCACCTGGTAAGAAGCACAGGCGCCCTACCCTCTCTATCTGGGAAAGAAACTTCCTGCTGTCTTTGTGGACAGACAGCTGCGATCATGTGACCCAATCAAACATTAACTTGGTGTGCAGCTTGCTGCTCGTACATATAAATGCAGAGGGCAGGTTCCTGGCAGGACCTCAGGCTAGGGCACGATGGCTGCTCGGTTCCCAGGCCCTCAGCTGCTGGTCCTGGGCTTGCTGCTGTGTGCCGTGGGCACCCCCTGTCACATGCCGGGAAGATATTGTTGGTCCCAATGGAAGGCAGCCCCTGGCTGAGCATGGTGGGAACTGTCCAGCAGCTGCAGCAGCGGGGCCATGAGATAGTGGTTCTGGCTCCTGAAGCCTCGATACACATAAAAGAAGGAGCATTTTACACCTTGAAGACGTACCCCGTGCCATACCCAAAGGAGGAGTTGGAAGCAGCTTTTGTCAGTTTCGGGCACTTGAGTTTTGATAATCTTCCTTTCCTGCAGCGTTTTGTCAAGCTATACAAGAATGCCCAAGAGAACTCTGCTCGGCTTTTGTCCTCCTGCCACCACTTCCTGTATAACAAGGAGCTCATGGCCTGACTGGCCGAACACAACTTCGACGTCATGTTGACAGACCCGTTCCTTCTGTTTGGCTCCATCGTGGCCCAGCCCCTGGGTCTGCCCATGATACACTTTTTTTTTGGAGAGATTTTCGCTATAGGGCGCGTGCGCTTGCCAGACAGACAGAGAGAGACAGAGAGACAGAAAGCGAGAAATCATCCCCCAGGGGGGATGGTCACACTGCAATCCCTTCTCCTCCATTCTCCTCTCAGGATCTTGGGCACGCACACACACGCGCCCAGCGTGAGTTTTAAGCCACCGGGTCTGGGACACTTACTACGGTCAACTATGTGGGAGTCCTGCGATATAGCCATTACGCTAACTGCTGGTTCCCTACAGTACACTTCTTGAATGGACTTCCGTGCAGCCTGGACGTGGCAGCCACCCAGTGCCCCAGCCCGCTGTCCTATGTACCTAAGCCATTGTCCTCTAACCCAGACCGCATGACCTTCCTGCAGCGGATGAAGAACGTGCTCATCTCCTTGTCAGACAACTTTCTGTGCAACATGGTTTACACCCCTTACGCAAAACTTGCTTCAGAATTCCTCCAGAGAGACGTGACTGTCCAGGGCCTTCTGAGCAGTGCGTCTGTCTGGCTGATGAGAAGAGACTTTGTTCTGAATTTCCCCAAGCCCATCATGCCCAACATGGTGTACATTGGTGGGATCAACTGCATGAGCAAGGCCCCCCTATCCCAGGTGTGTATGTGAATGGGACCTTTACCTGCCTGGACCCTCGTCAGCACCTTGGATAGAGCTTATCCAGAGGCAGGCTGTAGGAATGCACTGAAGTAGTGCCCAGTGTTGTTCATTTCCTCTTTAAGAAAGTATACTTCTTTCTTTCTTTCCTGAGAGAGAGGAAGGGAGTGGGGTGTCCCCAACAGAAACCTCATTCTGCGATCCACCCTCTGCCTCGGCTATCCCAGTTCATGTGTGTGCCCTGGGTGTGTTCAGGGAGACCTCAGGACCTGAACCCGAAATGTTTCTATGTTGCCTCAGCAGTGCCGGCATTGCCTCATTGCCAAGCCACTACAGCTGGACTTCTTGTATTATGTCCTGGCTCACATGTCTGTTGTCTACTGTTGTTTTCCATTCCTTCCTCCCAACAATTTTGTAAATAATCTAACTACTTTCCATAGCAAGTTCAGCTGGTAATTTCAAGCGGGACAGTTATGCTGCAATCCATTCTCCTCCTTTTTAACCTCCTTTGGGATTTGGGCACACGTGCACATGTGCCCCATGTGCTTCTCAAGCTGCCGGGTCCGGGACTTGAATGGCACAGCTGGTCATGTGGGATCCAGCCACCTTAACCACCATGCTGTGGGATGGCCCTAGTTTTTCACAATATGCATTTTTCATGAGCTTTTTGAAGATCGCTCATAGGACAACATTGAGAGAATGAAACTCTGGAATTCCTAGATATCCTTCCAAGAGGAGAGACTGTCCTTGTGATAGCAGCAATTCTGAGATTAGAGCCACGCAAGTTGGTTCCGAGGAAAATAGCTAAAGCCGAGTGAGGACCTGCTCAGGATGACGAGAGAGCCTGAGGGGCACAGATGCTAGGGATCTATGTGGACGACCAGGAACGGATCTGGTGAAGGGACATCGCCAACACATTATCTACATACTAAATAAGGTCCTGGGGGGGGGGGAAGGCATTTGGAGGAAAATAAATCAAATTTAAAAGCCCAGAACTTATATGACTAAACTCTCAGTACAGTGTAGGCGCTATTTCAGAGGTGTCATCTGGGTGGGTGTTCAGCAGAGCCAGGGCATCCATCCACTCAGGGCAGCTCATCTTCTCTGAAAGGCACCAGCAGTTGGGGATCAAGGGGTGTTTTCAGTTAACTTGTTCCTTTGTTCTCTGGCCAGCCCAGGGACTGTGATTCTGGGGTGAGGTTCAGGGAAAGTTTTGCTAGGAAGGGATGCACTTGGCCTTACTGAACCCATAAGAGCAGGTCCGGAATGGACACTGGCTGTGACAGTGATGCCTGCAGCGTGCCCCGCTGTGACCTCTTAGTGAATGTCCCCTACTTACACTCTAGCTCAACCTGCTATTGAGCTTTGGATCTCCATGGGCCTGTGGGTTCCATTCTGTGTCATCATCTCCTGCTGGCTGAGAGGGCCTGGGGGTGTACAGATCTGGCCCTTTCCAGATGCGGTTAAAGGTCACCTGAAGGAGCCCAGGTTCTAGGGAATGTGTGGAAGTGTTTACCAGCGCTCAGGGGAAAAGCTGAAGAGAACTTGGATAGGAACAGGCTGTGATGAGGAGCCCAGGAGGGAAGGACTTAGAAACCCCATCCTCAGGATGTCCTTGTCACAGGCCAAAACTGCAGTGTGGGGCCGGCTCCATAGGCTAGTGGCTAAGGGAGAGGGATCCCAAATGAATGATAGTGGTTCAAATTCCAACTCCAGCAGTTTGAAAGCACAGAGGCACATGTGTATGTGCATGTCCAAAATCCTGACAGGATGGAAAAATGGAGAAGAAAGGATTTTCACATGACAATGCTCCACTTGGAAGGTGCCTACTCTGTCTCAGTCTGCCTTTCTGGTGAACTCATGCTCCCTCTGGGAATAAAAAGTAATAATTTTGCCTTTGTTTCATGCAACATACCCCTTCATCACAGTCCGAAGGAAAAGATGTTTAATTCCAGCTTAATGTTTGTAGTCATCAAAGAATATGAGAACAAATATTAACTGGAAACTTTTCTCTGGCTCTAGGAATTTGAAGGCTCCCTCTCCAGAGGGAGAACATGGAATTGAGGTTTTCTCTTTGGGATCTCTGGTCTCAGAGATTCCAGGGAAGAAAGCTATGGAAATAGCTGAAGCTTTGGGCAAAATACCTCAGACGGTAAGAAAACGAGACTATTTCTTCATGTCTATCCTCATAGGCATTCGGGCCCCAACTCTCATTATCTACCTTAACTCTCTTAGCTGGAACTTTAGATCTGGGCTTTCTCTGCAACTTCCCAACTATGAATCCAATGTCTTTTTTTTTTTTTTAAATTCAGTTTAACTCTTATCTATGTGTGAAATCATGGTCCACTGCACTCAGAAGTCTCATTTTCTCTAAGAGAATACACAGTGCATTAAGAAGAATTTATTTAAATATAAAAAGTTATTGATTCTCCATGTTAAATTGGAATATTTATGCATAAAATTACTGGTTAGGACACTGGATTTCTTTCTTATTTTTCTGCTTTTGTTGTTCCACATGTACTCATTTTAATAAGTAGTTTCCTTTGAAGTGCAGGAAGGTAGAAAAATAAAAAGTGTGCAGTTCAGTGAATTTTCATAAGTACTGAACAGCTTGTGCCCAAGCTGCCCCTGTGTGGGAGGCTGTGCACCAGTGAACATTGCTGGTTTCTCAGAAAGCAAACAATTACACAATGCCTACGACACAGACGACCAGGAAGACGACACAGACGACCCAGAAGACCCTGAAGAGTTGTAACACTGCATCATCTCTGGAAGTCCCTGAAGAGTTGTAACACTGCATCGTCTCTGGAAGACCCTGAAGAGTTGTAACACCGCGTCGTCTTTGGACGACCCTGAAGAGTTGTGACACCGCTTCGTCTTTGGATGACCCTGAAGAGCTGTGACACTGTGTCGTCTTCAGATGACCCTGAAGAGTTGTGACACCATGTCATCTCTGGACGACCCTCAGGGGCTGTGGCACTGTGTCGTCTCTGTGCTGCCCACAATAAACGGATGACCCTGACTCTGCATCGTCTCCGTGTTGTAACATTGCACTGCTCGTTCCGGCTCTCACTCCTTCCTTCTACTGTCCCCCAGGCCGGGACATGTGGTGCCCGAACAGGGACCCTGAGTACGAAGGCTCCATTGAAGAGCACCTGAGAAAGGATGGCAAAGAATCGTCCAGGAGGGGACGGCAGAGAATCGTCCAGGAGGGGACGGCAGAGAATCATCCTGGTGAGTAACAAAGATTGCTTACTTATAAGTAATAAGGGTAATAATGGGACAAGTAATAAGGGTAATAATGGGACAGGAGCTTAATCAGCACGAACAAGAGCTTAGTCAGCACAAACTATTCATCCAGGACTTAAAAGAAGCCCTTGCCACTATGGTCGTTAATTCTAAAATTGAAAAAGACCAGGGAGAAGATCTTATTTCCCTAGATAGTGAGGGAGAAGTTAAAAGCCCCGAAGGCGAGACAAAGCCCAAAAAATCAAAAAAACTAAAAAAGAAAAACAACCTTAAGGCTCTACAAGAGCCAAAGAAAAACAAGTCATCAACTAGCTCAGAAGAGGAAATCCTAGAGGCCGAGGCTGATAAATATAATAACCCCAAATGGTTGCCTTTCAAAAAACGGCTGCCACCCTATAACACTACTGCTTCAGCACCGCTCCTTATTGAACCAAAACAAAAAATCATTAATGAAATAAAAAAATTAAAAGAACAAATTCAATTAGAAAAAGAACACTGGGAACTAATACTTTGGAACCAAGGAGCAGGACTTTTAGCTGCTTGTTTTATAGCAATTGTACCAGGTTATATATCTTGGTCAGTGGATGGATTCTTTGATAGTGAAGGCATTGCTATTTTTGCACTTCAGTTCACATATTACTTGTGGGTAAAATCAGTAAAAACGGAGTCAGTTTTTTGGATAATCTGCTGCTGTTTATCATATTTCTATATGGTCTCTGCTTGGGGTGGTTATGTGTTTATCATCAACCTTATTCCACTGCATGTGTTTGTGTTGTTACTGATGCAGAGATATAGCAAAAGAGTCTACATAGCATATAGCACTTTCTACATTGTGGGTTTAATATTATCCATGCTGATACCTTTTGTATCACAATTAGAGAAACTAAAAACCAATACAGACAAATAGACAAAACTAGTTCAGGGATCACCTATGACAGACTTTGAGACATTCCCTGTTACAGAAACTACAGATCCCCAAGGACAGGTTTGGCGCCGTCACAGCAGGTTTATGGTAAAGGAGATTAAGGTGGCAGTTGCCCAATACGGAGCTAATGCTCCATATACCTTAGCTATAGTTGAAGCTATCACCGAGGGCTGGCTCACACCATCTGATTGGCAAACATTAGCCCAAGCTATCCTTCTTAAATCTCAAAACGCTCAGCCTTTATGTTCCCCTAACTGAAGCTACAGCTGCTGACTCCATTGGCTTGGGTTATTATGCAAGCCTGGCATCGTTCGTGACAAGATACATCAACTCCAAGAATCTCTCCAACAACGTAGAAAACAACTCGCCAATGGTCTACCTGGAACGGTCTCCTCCCTTTCCCATTCCCCCTCCTTGGCCCATTCATCGCCTTTTTAATTGTTTGCTCACTGAGACCTGTTATATTTAATAGGCACATGTCATTCCTCAAACAACAAATTGACTCACTTATGGAAGACCAACACCCCTATACTGGTCTTGCCTGAGGCACTGAATCGGTTAGCCAAAGACAGGTAAGAGAGTCTGATGAACCCAATAACTGATCAGTCCTTCCACCTAAGACAGGAGGCCCATCATAGCTATGGGACTCTCCAATGACGGGTAAGAATGGATGTATATTTCCATAAACGACTCCAACCTAAGACAGGCATGATTCCCCCAGGTCTTTTCCTCGTCTCTCAAATTAAAACAGAGAAGGGGGATATGTGGGAGGCTGTGCACCAGCGAACATTGCTGGTTTCTCAGAAAGCAAACAATTACACAATACCAATGACACAGACGACCAGGAAGATGACACAGATGACCTGGAAGACCCTGAAGAGTTGTAACACTGCATCGTCTCCGGAAGACCCTAAAGAGTTGTAACACTGCGTCGTCTTTGGATGACCCTGAAGAGTTGTGACACTGAGTCGTCTTTGGATGACCCTGAAGAGCTGTGACACCACGTCATCTTCAGATGACCCTGAAGAGTTGTGACACTGTGTCGTCTCCGGATGACCCTGAGGGGCTGTGGCACTGTGTTGTCTCCGTGCTGCCCACAATAAACGGATGACCCTGACTCTGCATTGTCTCTGTGTTGTAACATTGCACTGCTCGTCCCGGCTCTCACTACTTCCCTCAGGAAACCTATTCGACTGTCCCCCGGGCCGGGACACTCCTGGAGGTCTTCTCAGTCATTAAACCACCAACCCTCATGGAGGAAGGTTATGTCATTCATGGGTCCTACTTGTAAGCTACCATAGCAGACTTGCTTTGTTTTTAAGTCATATTATGTTCTTTCTTTCAAGCTGTTCTTTCATCCCTGCTAGGTCCTGTGGCGGTATACTGGAACCCGCCCATCAAACCTTGTGAAGAATATGATACTCGTCAAGTGGCTACCCCAAAATGATCTGCTTGGTATGTTGGGAGGACTTGACATGTAGGGTAAAGCAGGATAAATGAAGAGAATGGCTTGGGCGTGGTTGCTCTTAAAGTTTGTTTGGCTTGAAGAGATTATGGCCAACATGTCTGCATTTTCTGTAAACTTCTGCAAGGGCCACACGTGGACTGTCCTGAGTCTTTAGGGGATTTCACTGCCTAGACAATGTCAGTCTGTGACACCAACGACCTGACCACAGGCATCCCCTCACTTTGCTTCTCAGCTCACCCAAAGACTCGTGCCTTCATCACGCATTCCGGCTCCCACGGCATTTATGAAGGAATATGCAATGGTGTCCCGATGGTGATGTTGCTCTTGTTTGGTGACCAGATGGACAATGCCAAGTGCATGGAGACCAAAGGAGCTGGAGTGACCCTGAATGTCCTTGAAATGACTTCTGAAGATTTAGCAAATGCCCTAAAAACAGTCATCTTTGACAAAAGGTAACAAATCCTAAATACTATGTGTATTTTGGACACAGTATCCATGGTAAACATTTAATCATTAAAAGAAATACTTCCAATCAATCTAGAGTTAGAAGTTGGGAATTATTGTTATTCACTTTTAAAAAGAATCCTTTAGTTCTTGAATAATTTTTAAATAAATTCTGCTATAGGGTACATGTGCTTGCCAGGAATAGACAGAAAGAAGTAAAGAAGGAGAGAGAGAAGGAAAGTGAAAAAGTACCCTCCACACTGCAATCCCTTCTCTTCCATTCTCTTCTTTGGATTTTTGGGTTCACACACACATGTGTCTGGTATGTTTTTTTTTTTTCTTTTTCTTTTTTAAATTTTGGAAAGGTTTTTGCTATACGATGTATGTGCTCACCAGAAAGACAGAGAGAGACATAAAGTGAGAAATCACCCCCCAGGGGAGATGGCCACACCACAATCCCTTCTCCTCAATTCTCCTCTCGGTATCTTGGGCACGCATGCACATGTGCCCAGCCTGAGTTTAAGCCACTGGCTCTGGGACTCAAACTGCAGTCGACTACATGGGAGTCCAGCAACATAGCCATTAAGCCAACTACTGGTCCCAAGAGAATCTATCTTAAAAGAAGATTTATTTAAAGGGAATGTGCTTAATAGGATTTATGGCCAAATATTAGTATTACGTTATATCAACGTATCCAATAAAAATCACGGATATGTTTAAGGACCACAGTGACCATAATTAGTCCTGAATAGGAGTGTCTTCTGGTCAGCTGTTCCTTTTCTTTTCAATCTCCTCTTTTTCCTTCTCTAACTTCTTCTAGTAAATCTACACTATGGGTTGAAGCATCTAACCCATTTTGGATTTAGATGTCCTGATTCAGTTGTCAACACTGTCCAACATAAACAAGAATCCATTTTCCATTAACTGGCTGCATAGACACAGCCTCATGCAGAATTTGGTCCTTGGAAAGTTCGATGAATTCCAGCGATTTGATTGAAGAATGTGACCACCTTAGGGTTGGCACTTAATGACTTTCACTTGGCCAGGTGTGATTGTTTACAACTTTAAATGAGGGACCATTCATTGGGACCAGCAGTTAGCATAATGGCTATGTCATTGAACTCCCATGTAGTCGACGGCGGTTCGAGTCCCAGACCCCGTGGCTTAAAACTCACGCTGGGCACATGTGCGTGCGTGTCCAAGATCCTGAGAGAAGAATGGAGGGGAAGGGATTGCAGCGTGGCCAACACTCTGGGGGGTGATTTCTTGCTTTCTGTCTCTCTGTCTGTCTCTGTCTGTCTGGTGAGCACACACACCATAAAACGAAAACCTCTCAAAAAATAATAAATAAATAAAAAATAAGAGGCTTAAATCTCCCTGTTGAAAGTAAAGGGGGGGAGGGGAGATGCTCCTTTTTAGAAAAAAAAAATGAGGGACCATTCACAATTTGGATGACCTTTTCTTTTCTTTAAGAATAAACAAAGTATAACTTGATTTCCCACAAAATTCTTTCTTTTTATCTAACTTCTCAAATATATCATTAAAAAGAAAAGGAGGAAAGGAAGAAACAAGGTTTGGCAGTGTAGAACTGGGAACCAGTGGTACAGTGGTAACATGGGATGGTCCGTGAGACTGACCCACGTGGGAAGGTTCCAAGTTCGAGCTTGCACCTCCCTGCCCATCCCAGGCATTCAGGTCTTAGTGATCTCGCCTGGCTAAGGCTGTGTGGTTTGTGACTTCAAGACCTGCTGGGGGCACTGTTTCTTCCTGTCTCTCACAGAAGAAATAAACTACAATTTAGTACAATTACAATGTTGAATTTCAGTCTCGCTCCCTCCCTTCTTTCTTCTTCCTTTTCCTTCCTGCCTGTCTCTTTTTCTTCCTTTTTGAGAAATTCCATTTACTAAGTGTGTGTGTGCCTGTTCTTTCTGGTTATCATGAAAACACTTTTCCACGGCCACGTTCGGCAAGGCTGGGCTCACTCCACACAGGAAGCTAGCGTGGGGGGAGTGCTCATCCTCCTGGTGTCTCAGGCACTAACACGACCCTCTCTGTGTTTAGCTACAAGGAAAACATCATGCGCCTCTCCAGTCTTCACAAGGACCGGCCCATAGAGCCTCTGGACCTGGCTGGGTTCTGGGTGGAGTTCGTGATGAGGCACAAGGGGGCGCCCCACCTGCACCCTGCAGCCCAAGACCTCACTTGGAAGAAAAGCCACAAATCCAAGGCACACTGAAAAGTAGGTGGAAAGTAAGGCGACATTTCGATCCAGACCCCGGTCATATCAAAACCTGCAAGCAGAATCAGTATTAAATTCACTTCATTCTTATTAAAGAAGTTCTTTGCCAAAAGTTGAGCATTATTTTGAATGTTCTTTTTGTTTTTACTGGGGTGTGGGTGTTCTCGACATGGTCTTGCCACCCAGCTAGCCAAGCTCACAGGTGCCGCTGTACTGCACCTGCCCAGGTGGCTCCTGGCATTTAACCTGGTGTCCCCGGGCGTCTCCATGGCTGGATTCTGGGGTGGTCTTTTTCTATTTTTAAAAGAATAATCTAATCACTGGTCACACCTGTAGGGTAAGACATCTCATTATGTATTCTGTGCCTCTGTTGTCTTTAACCTCTGTTGCATAGAGGACTGGCCCTGAGAGTGGCATGTCTTAGAACTGTAGCCTGTTCAGGTGCACAGGATTCGAAGGTGGTCCCATGGCATGTGGCCCCCACTCTGGATGACTATTTCCACGTCATGCTCAGGCTTCTCCAGACTGTCATGGTCAATGATGCCTTTAATAATGGTTGATCCACCTTTACGTTCAGGTTTCAAAGGTTCTAGGCTGTGTGTTCAAAGAAGGAAACATTTGTACCTTCGGCGTAGAGTTGGAAGGAATATATGGCTCAGAGTCCTTGAGAATGGTGTATGATTTCTGGCTTTAGGGAAAATGAATAAAGCTATTAAATCAGTGAATGACGCGCTCAAGATGATAATTATTGCTTGTGTCAAGTGGATCTGAATTTGCTAAAAATCAGAAGTAGAGTGCTGGGCATGTGCATGCTTGCTACTGTTACCCATGGCTAAAAAATATATCAATAAAGTCATATGAATCATATTTCTTAGTGTTTTTCTCTTCATTTTCGTTGCATGTTTTAATTGTGAAAGTAATGTAGAATGGTGACAGAAATACAGACGTTCACATGTGCACATGTGAGAAAAGAAAAATTGTTAGCAGTCACTATGCCTGGAAATAATCATGATTACTATTTTGACAGATATGTAAAATATTAGATATGCCAAATATACCTATTGTTTTTAATGTTCTTTCTCCACATCACTGTATTGTGAACATTCTTCCAATTATTTTATTTTATTTTATTTTTGGTGTCGAGCATATATTTTCACCAGAGAGAAACAGAAAGGGAGAGCTATCTTGCCTCCCAGGGAGATGGTCATGCCACAACCCCTTCTCCATCCACCTTTTGGAATTTTAGTCATGTCTGCACACATTCCTGGAGTGCTTTTCAAGTTGACAGGTCCAGGACTTGAACTGCAGAGTCAGCTATGTGACACTCAGTACCTTCACCAGGTACCTGCTGGCCCCATTCCCAATGTTTTATATAACATTCATTTTTAATGACCAAGGAGTGTTCTACTGCATGGATATTCCAGAACTTAAACAGACCTTTAGGGGACCAGCAGTTACTGTAATGGCTATGTCACTGGACTCCCATGTAGTGGACCGTGGTTCATGTCCCAGACTCGGTGGCTTAAAACTCATGCCAGGTGCGTATGCATGCATGCCCAAGATCCCAAGAGGAGAATGGAGGAGAAGGGATTGCGGCGTGACCATCCACCCTGGGGGGTGATTTCTCACTTTCTGTCTCTCTGTCTGTCTGGTGAGCACATGCGCCGTATAGCAAAAACCTCTAAAACAAAAACAAAAAAACAAACAAAAAAAACCCCCAGACCTTTAGAAAGATTCCCTTTTCTTTTCTTCCATAAAAAAGACCTCCCTTTGGTTGACCCTATATCCTGATGGTCAAGGATGGGTCCCATATGGCTGACTGTAGCTCAAATCCTGGCCCCAGCAGCTTGAAAAACATGCCAGTCTGTGTGTGTGCCTGCCCCAATCCCAACAGGATGGAAAATGGAGGAGGGATTACGGAATGACGGTGCCCCATTGAGGGATGCTTTCTCCTCTCTCTGTCTCTCTGGCAAGTGCATGCATCCTCTGGCAATTTAAAAACAAGAAAGACTTCAGGCAATGTCTTAATAGGTAACTGTTCACACACAATCAAGCTAATTTCCATGGGAAAGGATTTAAAAACAAATGACTAGTCCTTTGTTTGGGTTCTCCTGGGTGAGGATTCAGGGGCTAGGAGATTATTCCAGAGGGAAGAAAAGCAGGGGAGTAGGGGAAGAAGAAAGGTGAAGCTTGCTACTAAGTGCAAGTTCTCTTATGGGCAACGCAGGCTGGATCTGCTGGGTCACTCTGGAGCCAGGAAAGCAGCCAGACCATCCCACCCCAGGAATGTGGCTGATGGTATTTGAGCATGCGCCCGTCAGTGATGGGTTGAGACCTTCTCCAGGTGCTATTAATTTCCCGGCACTTCCAGTTGGCTACAAAGGGACCTTAAAAAGCCAGAGAGAGGGGGCCAGCAGTTACATTGCTGGACTCCCACATGGCCCTCCCACAAGGCCCACCGCAGTTCAAGTTATGGACCCTGTGGCTTGAAAACCACGCCTGAGTTCCTGTACTTGCTTGCCCAAGATTCCAGAAGAATGGAGAAGGGATTGCGGTGTGACTATGTCCCCGCCCCCAAGGGAGGTAATTTTTCACTTTTCCTCTCACTCTCCTCCCCCTACTCCTGCACACGCCCTAAGAAAAAAACCCATAATGTCAAAGAGATGTGCAGGTATGATGTTGAGGGTGGGCCCAAGGACTGACGAATCAAGGAGGGATGGAGGTGAGGTTCTACAGGTACTACCACCCTGGAACCATGGCTTACAATGTTCCCAAACTGCATCTGGAGGGTTGCCATCAGTGTGAGGGTTAGGAGCTCAGTCGCCCTTCAGGATAAAGTACCCTTCGATGAAGAAAATCTATCAGTTGGATAGGTGAAAAATGGGATTTAAAAAAGGAAAAGATTATTGGACCAGCTGGTAGCATGGATGCATGTGCCCAAAACTCTATGGAGAAGGGACTGCAGTGTGAGCATTCACTATGAGGGGATGCTTGCCATTTTTCTGCTGTCTCTGCTGAGTACACATGCCAGCTGGCAAATTTAAATAGAAAGCCTAGGTTCAAGGTATTTAAATAACAACCCACTCTTCCTATAACACAAGCACTTACATGCAACTAAAAGTCATGTTTATTTTCACTAACCTGAAGTATTACTAATAAGGCTCAAATCTTTTTTTTTTCCTTTTGGGTTTTTGCCATAGGGTGTGTGTGCTGGGAGAGTGGTGGGGTGGGTTGGGGTGGAGAGTGGGTGGGAATGAATCACTCTCTCCCAGAGGGGTTGGCCACACTGCAATGCCTTCTCCATTTTCCCCGTTGGGATCTTGGGCATGAATGCACACATACCCAACTTGATTTTCAAGCCACCAGGTCTGGGACTTGAAGCATGGTGGCCCCTATTGTCGGGACCATGCAGTCAACACAGGCTGAGTATAAAGGAGCTGCCTCCCATGCCTAAAGCAAGGACTGGGCTGGGAAGAAACTGTGAGCAAGGTCAACAGTTTACAAGTTCCAGTTCTCCACTGTGTTGCTGTACTGACCTGCACTCAATTTCTCTGCCATGGGCCTTATTGCCATTATGATACCCTGGTACCCCACAAGGGCAAAATAACACACCCAGCTTTATTGTAACTTTTACAGTAAAACCAACTAATAATCCTAAAAAGAATGTGGACTCCTAAAGCATCTGCGAGTAGGAATTGAGACTTACTCCACCTGCCTGGAAAATAAGAAAGAATGCTGAAGCTCCTCTCAGAGCAGTCAATCTGCTCACAAGACCACATTCCTTTCCCATATAGACATTAGACTAACCCTCTTAGCTGTGGATTACCCCAGAGATAATATAGGTATTTCACTTTAGTATATATTAACCTTGTCTTTACTTAACCAGGCAGGATTTCTATCTAGGCTTTTGTAACTGGCAATCTGCTGCCACCCTAACCTGAGGCTGAAGTTCTCAAGCTGGCCTGGGACTGAGGTTATTAAGATTACTGGGAGCCTCCTCATCCAAAAGACCCTTCCTGGTAATCAAGATCTAAGGAGAGAATGTACCAGACAAATGGACTTCCTTGCTCTAAGGATTATGACTGTTTATACCTAAACAAAACAAACCTCATGTTTTATGATTACTGTTCCTATGCTTTGAATGCTTTACCTTTTGGAGTAAAATCTTTTACTTACTTCCCCTCACCCATCCTACTCCTTTAAAACTCCTTCAATAATAAATACGTATGTCTGCTAGCCATCAGGGCTGCAGTCTTGAGCTTGCTCTGACTGTAGTCGACTGAGAACATGCTGAAGGGCATCGAGGTCTCTGCCTGAATTGTTCATCCATGTCACCTTCTTGTGTACGAGCTTCAACCCACCCTGGCTGGAGCAGGCCTCTGGCACCACATGGGAGTCCAGTGCCTTAATCACCATGCCACCTAATGGCCCTAATACACTCAAATCTTCTGCCAATATGTGCTCCAAATAGAAAGATGTGCAAGTTCTGTGATGAGCATTTCTTCCTAGCACTACAAAATAATTGTCGGCCTTGGGATTAAGTTTAATAAAGAGCAAAGTTTCTCAACGCAATAAAAGCCATCTATGAAAAACCCATAGCAAACATCATCCTGAATGGAGAAAAGCTGAAAGCTTTCCCACTAAACACAGGAACAAGACAAGGATGCCCATTTTCTCCATTCCTTTTTAATATAGTACTGGAAGTCCTTGCCAATGCAATCAGAAAAAAGAAAAAAATAAAAGGCATCCTAATAGAAAAAGAAGAAGTGAAACTTTCTCTATTTGCAGATGACATGATTGTATACATAGAAGACCCAAGGTCTCCATGGAAAAATTACTGGAAGTAAGACATGATTACAGTAAAGTTGCAGGATATAAAATCAATATACAGAAATCAACAGCATTTCTATATACAAATAACAGGCAGACTGAGATAGAACTGAAAAAAAGTTATTCGATTTAACATAGCCACCAAACATATAAAATACTTAGGAATAAATCTAACCAAAGAAGTTTTAGACCTCCACAAAGAAAACTATGAGAAGCTAAAAAATGAAATTGAAAATGACACAAAAAGGTGGAAGGACATCCCATGTTTCTGTATTGGAAGAATTAATATAATCAAAATGGCAATTCTACCCAAATTAACCTACATATTTAATGCAATGCCAATTAAAGCACCAGACACATTCTTTACAAATCTAGAAAAGACAATCATAAAATTCATCTGGAATCATAAAAGATCCCGTATTGCCAAAAACAATTCTACACAAGAAGAGTGGAATGGGTGGCATCTCACTCTCTTACCCAAAAATATAAAAAGCTGTGGTAATCAAAACAGCATGGTACTGGCACAGAAACAGACATGTGGACAGAACAGAATAGAGTTCCTAGAAATAAATTCCCATACAGTCAACTGATTTTTAACAAGGGGTATCAGTCAATCCAGTGGAAAATGGAAAACCTCTTCAGCAAATGGTGCTGGAAAAACTGGATTTCCACCTGCAGAAAGATGAATCTGAACCCTTACCTCTCACCTTTGACAAAAATCAAGTCAAGGTGGATCAAAATCTAAATCTAAGACCTCAAACTATAAAACTGCTCCTGGAGGGGAACAGCAGTTAGCGTACTGGTTATGTTGCTGAACTCCCACGTAGTTGACTGCAGTTCGAGTCCTGGACCCGGTGGCTTAAAACTCATGCCAGGCCCGTGTGCATGTGTGCCCAAGATCCCAAGAGGAGAATGGAGGAGAAGGGACTGTGGCGTGGCCATCCCCCCTGGGGGGGGGTGATTTCTCGCCTTCTATCTCTCTGTCTCTCTCTGTCTGGCGAGCACATGCACCCTATAGCGAAAACCTCTCCAAAAAGAAAAGAAAAGAAAAGAAAACTGCTCCTGGAAAACACTGGGAAACTCTGGGAGACATTAGTGTAAGGAAAGACTTCTTAAATAAGACCCTCAAAGCACAGTTGATAATTCCCCAAATAGACAAGTGGGATTACCTCAGATTAAGAAATTTCTGCATGGCAAAAGACACAATAATTAGTGTGAATCAACAGCCCTCAGAATGGGAAATTATTTTCGTAAACTACACATCAGATAAGGGACTGATAACCAGAATACACAAGGAACTAAAGAAGCTGTTTGGAAAAAAGATCATCAACCCTATTAAAAGATGGGAGGAGTTAAAAAAAAAACTCTCTGTAAAGATGACATACGAACAGCCAGAAGGTATATGAAAAAATGCTCGACATCCCTCATTGTAAGGGAAATGCAGATCAAAAACATGATGGGGTACCACCTAACCCCAGTCAGAATGTCTAAGATTAAAAAAAAAACAAACATAAAATGGTAAGTGTTGGGGGTGGTGGTGAAAGGGGAACTCTTTTACACTGCTGGGGGGAATGTAAATTGGTCCAGCCACTGTGGAGAGCAATTTGGAGATTTCTCAAGAATCTACAAATAGAACTACTATATGATGATCCAGCAATTCCACTCCTCGGTATCTACCCAAAGGACAGAAGAATTCTTCATTGGAAAAGTGCTTGCACATCTATGTTTATTGCGGCACTATTCACAGTTGCTAAGACATGGAACCAAACCAAATGCCCCCGTATAGGTGAATGGATTGAAAAACTGTGGCACATATACTCTATGGAATACTATTCAGCCATAAAAACTAATAAAACCCTGGCTTTTGACAGGAAGCAGAAGAATATGGAAGATTTACTGCTGAGTGAAGCAAGCCAGGCTATGAAGAAGAGACATTTTATGTTCCCACTTTATACCGACTGCACTCTTATGACTGAAATTGACTGACTAAAAGATATACAAACACAAGAGATAGGTGTGAATGCCAGATGTGGTTTGTGTGGAGGAGTGGGGCCTAGGGAAGGACATTTGGAGGAGGGCTGTAGAGGCAGACTATTGACGGGATGGGGAGGTGTGGTGTTATCTGTTGAAGATATTTTGATCTACTGGGCTGGGGAGAAATGTTTACATTCTGAAATGTACACTTTGTAAGCTAAATAATGTGATTGAATGTATATAAATAAATTAATAAAAAAAGAGCAAAGTTCATACAGATACAACAGTTTTAAAGACAAACAGAGGTCTATTCTGACAGTAACAAGGAATTCTTGAGTGCAGGTGTTCTGAAAGTGGAGTTCCCTTGCAATCTTAAAATTAGGTCCTGCAATTCCTCAAATGTGTTTCCAGTCAGACAGGTGGTGTTACTTGGTGTCAATGTGGAGCAGCTGCTCTTTGCCGTTTATTATCAGGGACTTTAACTCTCCATCTTCTTCCACTTCCACCCTTTCTTGGCCATTCTCAATGATTCTCTTGGTGGTGACTTTTTTGCCGTTAACTATCTCGGTGGAAGTCGACACGGACTTGAAGCTGCCTGCCGCACCACTCCCACACGACATGGAGAAGGAAGAAAGGCCCCCATTTCCCAGGGGGCCAAAGGACGAAAATCCTGGATCAAAAGAGGAAAAACCACCTCCAAAAGCTGGAAACTGATTGAAGGTGGAGAAAAGCGGTGCTGACCCTCTGCTTCTGCTTCCCCGGGAGCTCCTTCGACCCCCGAAAACGTTCTCAAGCGCGTCTCCGAAGAAGTCAAAGGAAAATGGGTCGCGGCCACCAAAGAACTCCCTGAAGACGTCGGCCGGGTCGCGGAAGCTGAAGACGTCCTCGAAGGGGTCGTGGAAGGGCGCGCCGCCGCCGCCTCCGCTCACCCCGGCCTGGCCATAACGGTCGTAGACGTCCCGCTTCTTGGCGTCCGACAGCACCTCGTAGGCCTCGGCCACCTCTTTGAATCTCTTCTCCGCCTCCTCCTTGTTCTCCGGGTTTTTGTCGGGGTGCCACTTGAGGGCCAGCTTGCGGTACGCCTTCCTGATGGCCTCGGACGAGGCCTGCCGGGGCACGCCCAGCACCTGGTAGTAGTCCACCATGTCGGAGGGCCGCAGGCCGCGGGCCAAAGCAGGGGAGCGCCGCGGGCCAAAGCAGGGGAGCGCTGCGGGCCAGGGCAGGGGAGCGCAGCCGGCAGAACCGCACGGCCTCAGCTTAGGGAAGGCTGGGCCGCAAGAGGCCTGTGTTGGGGGTCGCTCCTTATGACGTGTCCACGTCCCATTGGTCAAAGCCAGTCTGGGCACCGCATCCCAGAATGCCACGCGAGGAGCTTGTTGGCTCCTAGCAAGGGGCTCTGGGATGCTCCCCGCGGTGTGGGAGGCCCCGCCCACAGGCGTGCCCACGCTCAGACCCTTCCCGTGCCCCGCCCACCTACCTCTAGTCCTAGTCTCTAGGGAAGTAAAAGGGCACTTTCATCTGAAAACGGAGGACCCTCTCTATCAGCCCTAGGAAATGTTTTCCTTAAAGTTGGCTTTAGATCAGCCTGGGGAGGGATAGGGTGATGGGGTGGGTTTTATCTAACCCTGGGCAAGGGGAGTCATGGCGTTTTAGAACAACACTTCTCCAACGTTTTTGACTCAGGCCTTATGTTTAGGTAAATTGTATTTGTAGTATGTATGACACCAGATATTAAAACTGAAAACAAAAGACTGTATTCATTGGCCTCATGAGTCATAGCAATAAGTCCATTCCATGCTAATAGAAATAATACTTTGATGAGAAAATATATTTTTCAAAATAAAAACATTTGGTGGGAAAAAGAGCATTGTTTTACAGTTTTGCAGCTCTCCTTAGTATCAGACTCAGTAGAAGAGCACCAGATTCTTTTGTCCACTTCTGTACTTTTTTTTTTAATTGACAGAGGGTGTGTGTGCTTGTCAGAGAGAAGTAAGCACAGTCAGAGAAGGAGGAAGCAGCCCCACCCAGTGGCACTGGTCTAGCTGCAATCCCTCGTTTTTCGTCTGTCATCCTACTGGGGGTTTGGGATGTGCATGGAAATGAGTCTCCTATGGTTTTCAACTAGACTTTGAACTATGTGGAATCAAGTCCCTTAACCACTAGGCTATAGACCAACCCAGCTTCTGCATTTGATTTGTTGCAGTATCATACATGCCTAGAGCTTTTGGGAGACTCCAGGGTACACTTAGAGTAAGAGTGAAAAAGTCAAATGCATCTATGTTATGGAAATTGTTTTGACTTTGCAAAATTCCCCTGAACAATGTTTAGAGAGTCCCAGCATTGCCTGGTTCAGTCTTTGAGAGCTGGTAGTTTAGTATGGTCAGCCTGGCATATCCACAAGTGTATATCAAATCATTAAAACTTGTAGTCTAGGTGACTAGTGCTCTAGATGAAAACAGGATGAAGTGATTATTTCCATTAAAACAGCTGTGTCATAGTCATGATTTTCCTTTTGGCATTTCTTTTTTTTTGTTTGTTTTTTTGAGAGGTTTTTCAGTATAGGGCACGTGCACTCGCCAGACAGACATAGAAAGACAGAGAGACAGAAAGTGAGAAATTACCCCCCAGAGGGGATGGCCATGCCGCAATCCCTTCTCCTCCATTCTCCTCTCGGGATCTTGGGCATGCACGCACACATGTCCGGCCTGGGTTTTAAGCCACCAGGTCTGGGATGCAAACCGCGGTTGACTATGTGGGAGTCCAGCGACATAGCCATTATGCTAAGTGCTGGTTCCCTTGGCATTTCTTGATATCTGAGTTCTCTCCATTTCTTTATTCTGTCTTTCACACTATAGTCTTGGCTGCAATAAATTCTGAGGCAACACATCAATGAAAGTACCTTAGGTCTACTGGAAAATGATTAACCAATGAACTTTCTAAGGTTTCATCATGAAGGGTGGTGGGTCTAGAGGGTGCGTGCTATCTCACTGGATCATACCGCCCAGTTCTAATCATCTTGAGCAATGGAGGAGAGTCACTGGACTTGGCACTTGGTAACCACGCAATAAACAGTAGTAGGAAACTGGTAGAGTAGAGTCCAGCATGAGCAAAGCAACTGAGGACAGTGCGAAGGGAGTTTTAGAAAGGCAAGTGATCCAAAATGGCTGGAGGGTAAGGAGCAGAGGACAGGGAAGAAGAAGGGCTAGGGAGAAGGAATGAGCATGGACAGGTGGGCCTGAGTCTACCCAGGGAGTCCCGAGGGCAAGACCGTGGAGTCTGGATTTTCTTCTGTTTCCTAGGAAGCTGCTGACCAAGATGCCAGAAGTGGCAGTGGGTGCAGGTACAGGGGCAGCTTGTTCAGTGACAGAGGGATGGTTAGTGGTTGTAGTTCTGTGGGCTGGGGCCTTGAAAAGGGACCAGGGGGGACCAACAGTTAGTGTAATGGCTATGTCGCTGGAAGGGAAAGGAAGCCATATCTGTGTGGGAGCATTTACCATGTGTTTCTCTCTGCACAGCCATGGACTGGCACTGAGTGACAGAGTGATTGCAGAGTGGAAACTCTGCCTATAAGGATATTACAGTGCCAGCTTTAGGTGCAGTGGTTCAGGTGCCTGGAAACCACATGGCTGACAATGTGGTTGAGTCCTGGAACAGGTGGCTTGAAAAGCACACTGGACTCATGTGCGTGCATGCCCAAATTCCTAAGAGGAGAATAGGGTAGAAAGGACTGTGGCACAGCCATCCCTCTGGGGGGTGATTTCTCTCTCTCTTTCTCTGGTGAGCTCACAAGATCTATGGCAAAAAAAGCTAAAACAAAAGTTCTGTGCATATCTGTCTTCTGGCAGTGAGAACAGATGTGCAAACTGAAGCCGGATACAGGCAGAACAGAACGAAATGCTGCTGGAGAGTCAGGAAGTTGGCTTTGTTTCCTGAGGCCCCGTAGATGCGTTGCAGGCGGCAAGGGGAGTGTTCATGCTGCTTGTCTTGTTCTGATCCCATCAAAGGAGTTAAGAGGGTACGAGTGGTGTAGGCACCAACTCTGGCTTCAGCTGAAAAGGAAAGCACCTCCTAATGGGTTTCGGGAGTGCTTTGTGGAACCCCAGTTTTCAGCAGACCCCAACGCAAGACCACGTCACTGCCTCATGTGTTTCCTCGGCCATCAGAGCACCACTGTCCTGCCCTGGAACTGCCTGGTTTGGGTTGGTCTTTGCCCACTGGAGCCCTCCTTCTAGGCAGGGACCATTCCTCACTTGGTTTCCTGGGCCCAGCTGCTGGCATAGTGTCTGGCACACAGCAGGACTCACGTGTTCTGTGAATATTTGGTAAGTGAGGGAGTGAGTAATGGGTACGTGGTGTTGCATCTTCTCAGGTTCCGGGGCAGAAGGCTTACTTGGTGCTTGGTGCTGGTCCTCAGCCCTAATCCTTACAGGGAGTGTGGACTGCCTGCCACTCAGACTGCAGGTGGAGAACCCCTAATCCCGAACACCAAAATCCGAATACTCCACAATCTGAAAAAAGTGCTTTTTGAGTATTGCCATGATGGCACACGTGGAAAATTTCATATCTGATCTGATGTAACCAGTCTTATATAATAGTATAGAAAATTCCCTTCGGGCTGTATAAGGTAAACATGAAATAGAAGTGAATTTCCTGTTTAGACTTGGGTTCCATCCCCAAGAGATCTCATTTTGTGCAGGTAGATCTCCCCAAATACAGAAAACATGAAACTTGAAACATGTAGTCCCAACCATCTTGGATATGGGATACTTGGTCTGAAATAAACAACATTCCGTGGTCAGGGACAGAGCTGGGCCCCAAACCATCCAGGTACGCAGCTACCTCAAAAACCCTGAGGCTTTGGGCCAGCAGATGGTATAATGATTACATTGCTGAACTCCCACGTAGTCTACCATGGTTTGAGTCCCGGACCCGGCAGCTTAAATCTCACATCAGGTGCGTGTGTGTGTGTTTACTCAAAATCCTGAGAAGAAAATGGAGTTCAGGGTTGCGGCATGGCCATCTACCCTGGGAGGTGATTTCTTTTCTCTGTCTCTCTGTCTCTCCAGCAAGCACACACGTTCTATAGAAATAATTTCTCTTAAAAAAAAAAAAAGCTCTGAGGCTCTGTTTGATGTAGGAAATTCAAAAAACCATTACAGAGGTGACTGTGTGTGCTTACAGACCCTTTGCTCTGAGTTATCTACAGAAGAACTCTCACGACATTGGGAGTTTGAATGAATTATTATCCTTGAAGTTTAAGTTGGACTGTGAACTTCAGAACTGCCGATAAGGACACCAAAAAGAGCAAAGTATACTTACCTGCTTCCTGCCCACCATGAATTTTGTTCCTAAAGAATGAAGACCATTTGGGGGTGGGGAGGCCCATAGGAGTGCATATGTGTGTGCATGTGTGTATGTGCGAGTGCACGCACATGTGTGCACACATGTAAAAACACATGTAAGCATGGTGGTCTTGAGGAAGGATGGTGGTCCAGGGAAAGGGGACTCTCAGTACCTACTCTAACATGAGATTGAGAGGGGGCTGGTCACGATGTCCCACAGGACACCAAAGCTTTGAGGTTAGCAGTTTCTCTGTGATGCTCCAAGCTCATCCCCAAGCATGGGC